TATGAGAAGACAGAGAAAACTATAAAAATCAAATCTCGAAGTCGTGTGACAAAAATTGATATGATTATGAACAATAAATTGTGTTCGAAACATCATCCAGTATACAATACTGTTTCACTGTGTGATACATTTAATAAACAAACTAATATGGAATTACTTACTACCACAGTGCCCAAGTTTTACACATATATTAAGGCGAAAAAAACTCTGTGTGTGTGTAGCATCACTTATTTCGTCGATTATTCATCAACTGCGTGCAGCCTAAAGTTTTATGTACAGAATGGATTTGACATACTTGCTTAATGTGACATGATGTCTGTTACTGACGGGAAATTTCAAACTTAGAAGTACTCAGAAAATTACCCTTTTTCTAGTGTATACTCAGAAGGTTCAAGTTTAAGTCGAAAATAAGCTCTTGAATACAATGTTGTAGAAAGAGCAACGTAATAAAGACAAGTATTAGAGAAGATTTGTGGCTCAGGTGGGTGTTTTTCAATTAGTTGTGTTCTCTGAGCTAGCTGGTTGGTTAGCTCAATTGTGGAGCTTTCGTCGTCCTACTGGACAACATCCCCATTTCAGCTCAAGTTTTAGCATAAAATGAACTGATTTAAATTCTCCATGAATGATGGTAGAATTGTGTATCGTGGCAACCAACCATCTTCGTGACTGGTAGTCGATTTACATCTGTATTGATAATTTTTTATTGATTTGGATTTTGAACTTTCTCGTCACATGATTTACTTTTTATTAGTTAGTTAATTTGGTCTGCATTAATGTTTGATGGGATGAAGGATTTCATCATGAGCTAACATCAGTTAGAGAACCACTAGGAAACCATGACCAGTAGGGTACAGCAGGTTGAAGATGAGGCAGTAACTCATCGAAGAAGACATTGTGAAATGGTCACACTACGTCACGAATTGGCAGAAGTTAGAATTTATGGACTGGCCGTTGGATCTGGTCCCAGTGGCTTAATGGTCTACGAGCTCGCCTTGTAACCAGAAGATAGTGGGTACGAACCTTAGCGGTGGGTTCGTACTGATGAAGGGTCCCAAACTAGAACGAAACAACTGTCCAGTACTCCCAGGTTTTCCAATGGTTCTCTAACTGATGTCAGCTCATGATGAAATCCTCCATGCAATCAAACGAAATCCCTACAAAACCGATACTTGAAAATTAATACGTTTGTTAATCTCTGATTCGCTTAAGTACCGGACTTCTAGATTTAGCACACAAGCCAGTCCAATCACTTTATTCGATATTGTGCAAACCAAAAGATCCAACAGAAAAAGAAGATAAAATTAATACCATTTACAAAATAAGTTGTATGAACTGTAACTGACAATTACATCATTCAAAGTGGGCGTCCCCTTCAAAACAGAATCCAAGAAAACAAATTAGGTGTGAAAAGACATGATATATATTCTTTCGTATTGATAAATGTAGACAGTTGTGGACACCAATTTGATTGGGATAATATCGAAATTTTAACTAGAGGGAACACCGAAAATACTGCCAGAGAATTCCTAGATGCCTGATGTTCAAGCAAATATGCGATTAACAAACATGTTAATATAGACCAAATTTACCAACTAAGAAAAAGTAAATCATGTGACAAGAAAGTTCAAAATTCAAATCAATAAAAAATTATCAATACAGATGTAAATCGACTACCAGTCACGAAGATGGTTGGTTGCCACGATACACAATTCTACCATCATTCATGGAGAATTTAAATCAGTTCATTTTATGCTAAAACTTGAGCTGAAATGGGGATGTTGTCCAGTAGGACGACGAAAGCTCCACAATTGAGCTAACCAACTAGCTCAGAGAACACAGCTTATTGCAAATACAAGTAGTGAATGATAATGATAATTTTTGCTTTATTCCAAAAACAGTACTAATGATACAGCAAGGAATTTTCAGCATTCAGTACAATATTGCATCTAATTTACTCAAAAACGACAAAAAAAAATTAAAAATACACATTACATAATAGTAATAAAACGATTGTTATAGCAGCTACGTAGCAAAATACTGTATGCCATACGGAGAAAAATATGCATAAAGTACAAAATTGTAGTAATAATAGTAATACCAACTAAAATAAAATAGCAGAGTTATGATTAAACGATAGAAAGTGTGACACCATAAAATACAGAAAGATGAACGATAAAAGGGTCGATTCACTGTGCTAATTACATAGTAACTTATGTGTTTCACGTCTAACAGAGTCTTCGTCACATAAAGTACGCGCTAAATAGGGTATTGTAGAATTTCTATACTTAGTGGTACGAGCATATAACTTTTTATATTGACTTCTCGTCCTACCTGATGAGATACAAGGGGACAGGTGTGAATAAAGGGGGTGCAGAGGGTCTGACATTATAGCCTTTGCCCATTTCGTACAGGAATTTATATGCCTCTCGACTATAGTATTAGCGAGCTCATGCAGTGGCAGACCACAAGCTCTACTCACAGCATTTAATACTCTTCGTAATATGATATAATCTTTTTTGAGAAGCCCAGGAAAGATTAATGGAGAGCAATAGAGTACAATAGGTAAAATACAGGAGTTTAAAAATTGCAAAACTAAAGGTTGGTTGATACCTGATTGTCTTAACTTTTTAATGTAGAAGGTAAGACGAAACATTTTCTTAGAGATAGATAAGATGTGGGATGACCATGAAAGGTCAGAGGAAAAAACTAGTCCAAGGTATTTAATGCTTGATTTGGTTTCAATTTCCGTGCCATCTATGCTACAGGGATCATGCGAGTTAACTAGTTCAAGTAAGTCACGTCGATGCTTGAAAGTAAAGTCAAGTGCCTGACATTTGGAAGGATTTAATATAAGACCATTTGACTTGGACCAGTTGTTGATGTCCAACAGAAAGCTATTAAGTTTGGAGCTGTCAGACTCGGAAGTGATAGGCAGTGATACAGTCAGATCATCTGCATATTTGACAAAGTTAGTTTCGTTTGAATGAGGCAGGTCATGTAGGAAGAAAGAAAAAAGAAAAGGAGAGAGGACAGCACCTTGTGGAACACCGGATTTTGTAAGCGAGGTAGAAGAAGATTTGCCGTTATATACAGTATACTGCATTCTATCAGAAAAATAGGAATGCAACCAACTCTTAGCCCAGGATCCTGTTTGTGTCAATGATAGCTTATTTAACAAAAGGCCCCTAGGTACAGAGTCAAAAGCAGATGTGTAGTCTAAGAAAGCACTACGAACATATTTAGCACCTTTGTCTAAACAAGAGACAACATTGTGATATAAGACAACCGCAGCATCCAAGGTACTTCTACCATGTTTGTATGCAAATTGTTTAGGATCATTAAAAGGTTTCAAAGCGGGTTCAAGACGAAGTAAAAGTAATTTTTCCATCAATTTTAAAAAGGGGGAAGTAATTGCAATAGGCCGAAATTTAATATCAGAACCAGAAGATGGTTTTGGTATAGGGATAATTTTAATGTTTTTCCATGCAAAAGGTAGAACGTTACCGGAAAAAGAGGCATTAAAAATGTTAGTAAGAGGATAACACAAAATATCAGCACAATTCCTGAGGACAATGGCAGGTATGCCGTCAGGACCAAGGCTTTGAGAAGGCTTAAGAGACCGGAGACATTTAAGCACATCAAGGGTATTAAAACCACTAAAGTTATTGTCAATATGATTTGTATCATTTGGAAGGGTATCAACAGAAGAGCGTATGAAAGATTTATTAAGAGTGTCAACATTAAGAGATGGAACAGAAATACATCGCTTACCGTTAGTAATTTCTTTGAAAAGTTTCCATAAATTAGAAGGGGTTTTACATGACAAAAATCTTTGATTATATAAAACATTTAGTCTTTTTATTTCCAGTTTTATCAGAATGTTTAACTTTTTTACACCAGGCTTATCATTAGTTTTGAACAACAGTTCTTTATTTCTACGTAGCTTTTTGAGATATGGCGAAGATAAGCGATCAAATCGAATGAATAATGTTTCTTTAGGACAACATATTTCGAAACAGAATTTAAGATAATCAGTAGTGTTTGTGATTGTTTCATCTAGTGTTTGTTCTGTGAGTGATGAGTACCTAATAAATTGAGTCCTCTAGCTTATATCAGTTCATGATGAAATCCACAAATAATACAATAAGTTCAATTCAAATCACAGAAACAAAAGACAAGATAAATTACATTCGAATGAAGGGAAAGAAGTTAAAGCCAAAGGTAACGTTGTCAAGTAGAATAGGAGGAGAGAGAGAGAGAGAGGGAGTAATGACATCCTCTTATCAGGATAAGGGGGAACTGTTAGCTGTTCTTTTCTTTCTGAACCCATAGATCAGGTTTCAGGCGTTTTATAGGAGTGTTGCTTCAGCAGACTTTAGGAAAGTTGAACTATTTGATAATATTAAAAGATTTCGTGATATGGCCCTTGTCGACGTGATGTCTGCCAATAGCTGTATTGAAAGTCTTTGTTCCTTTGAATGAGACGTAAGCTTTTGGTACATGTTCATAAAGTCTAAGGTGAGCCCTCTTTCCATTCTACAGTGTAATGGCTACCGCAGATACAGAGCTAACATAGGGGTATCTGTCGATTTATGCTTGCAACAAACAGCATGTTTCTCGATAAATGGGAACCAATTTCGCTGGCGGGTAGGCTCTGGCTAGTGACGTATATCCAATCTTCTGTTGACTATTTCTACAATATTATCACCTTTGAAATCGATTTATATGAAAGTAGGCTTCCTTTCCACTGTCTATATGTTTTTTGGCATTTAAACCTTGACATCTCCCACACGTGTTAATGAATTTCTGAAGGTAATCGTTATTTTGCAACATCTTTTAGAGAGACAGAATTTCCTTGTCTACTTTGTCGGTAGCGCGTATTCTCCTAGGTGTGCAAAACAGAGTCTTGACTAATACTCGTTTATTACTACTCATGTGTGTTTTTTCTTTCATTATCTGTTTATGCCTATCTCTGCTTTCTCTTTATCTTTCACATAAAGGAACGTTTGGAGTTATTTGGCTGTTTCCGTTTAAATTCAAGTATTTTTTCTCTGCTGAGTCGTTGTCAAGAGTTAAGAGCATTAGCTTTCGGACATCTTCATCATTTATCATCAGACGGCCTATTGGAACTTGTAAGCAAGGTGAGTTGATACTTCCCCCTCCCCCTTTTCACCGCATATTATGTTATGTATATGCATGATTGTTATGTACTGCTGCTGAGTTGAGTTATTAGAGTTTTCCCCGTCGCCAATTATGTTTTGTACTCGTCCAGTAGTTAATAGTCCTGACGCGGAAAGACGGAAATCAGAAGACCATCAGGTTTACGATGATACTTGTATTTTCCAGACAAGGAAAATAAATGTCACACAAGAGTGTGAGTGAAATGGTAGAAGTGTACGAACAAGTGCGTGTACAAGAATGTAATACAAAGGTATATATGAAATGGCTAATACACATGAACCAATGGACAGATAGCTTACCACGATTGGTCGTATTGTCATGTGATAACAAGGTCATACATGTTTATTTAGTTAGTGGACAGACAAATGCTTATCGTCAGTTATAATGAAATATCGATCCATATACGCAGCAAAATATAATAGGCTGTCAAAACCAAAACACACATCATGTGGATACATATCAATGATCCATAGAGATAAGAGGTGATGAAGATTCCTGGCCAACAGCAACAACAACAATCAGCGAGCACAAATTGCGGAAATCTGAAAGAAGCAAACTCCTTTACCCACCGACCTGGGAAGCATCGTTTCAACTGTGCGTCGGTGGCACAGTGGTTAGGACTATCGCCGACCATGCACATGGTCCGAGATTCAATCCTCTGCCAACGCATACCTGATATCTATGGTCGGCCTGCAAAATTTGAGCTACCGATATCACATGCTGGAAATTCCATACCTGTACCAAAAACAATACGGTGTGGAATCAAGCTGTAAATAAAAAAAAAAACTACAAGCGGAAATGACAAGGATAACAAAGCGAGGATAGGGAAAATAAGACAAGCTTTCATTAATCTCAAGTTTGTGTGGAGATCAACAGCATTCAGCATGAAAAATGAGATCCGGATTTTCACCTCCAATGTGAAGTCAGTTCCACTTACTATACGGATCAGAGACTTGGCACTGCGTCACGAAGGGTGCTTCGAGAAAACTACAGACCTTCATAAACAGGTGTCTTCTCTCAATACCACTCATGATCAGATGGTCAGGAAAGATGAGCAACAGGAAGGGGTCTCTGGGAGCGAACTAACCCAGCATGGTCTAACTGTGCAAGAAATATGCAGGAAGAAATGGAAGTGGATTGGTCATACTCTGAGAAGAAAAATCATCAAGTGGGTGGCATCACACGCCAGGCCGTCACTCGGGTGGAACCCGAATGGAAAGCGGCGAGTTGGTCGTTAGTGCTGGGGTGATATAGAGGAAGTCATGTGAAGAGGAGATGGAAGCATGTGGGCAGACGTGGAGGCAGGTGAAAACGTTAGCAGAGAACCGAGCGTAATAGAGACGTGCGGCTGAAGCCGTATGTTACTTTACGAACTAGATGAAATAATAATCATAATTATGATCCATAATATGCAAAGTAATGTACAATTTTTAGTTTACAAAATTCATGGAGGTGCAGTTTCACCACCACAGTTGTATCCTTTGGAAACCGAAATTATTCACACTATAGTGTGTGATTGATCTGCTTGATAACAGAAATGGCAATCCAGCAAGCAAAAGCATAGATTGATGACGGTGTATACTACTGGTCGAGGTGAGTAGTTGGTACGACTGGCACTTGCTACACAGATCGAAGTGATCTGGACACCTGACGGCCATTTCACTCGTTTGTGTGGGATCTCACCAACGGTGGATTGGGTTTAATTCAGCTCATTGAGCTGATTGGCTGTTGGAAGGGTGAATTGAACCCGACCGCCTGTGTGATTGACAAGTATTTTTTCAATGAACCAAAGACGCATACCATCTTGTTATATTTTGGTTTAATCTGATTGCTTTAGTTAAAATAACACCAGTTTTTGTAAATATAAATCATTGTTAATAAAGTGCTTGCAAAAAGAAACAGTTCGTCTGTTATTTAGACAGGTCAGTTTTGTACTCCAATCTGGTCATAATTCAACCTTATTGTTAAGCTTTTAGTACGCATCCAATTTGATGTTAAGTTATATCATACATAACCTATGTTTCATTGTTAGTGAAAGTGATCGAAACCAACTATTTCTTCATTAAAATACAAACTTGATACATTATAGACACCAATAAATATGCCACACACGAAATCTCAGTTAGTTTGAGAGCTGAGACGCTACCCGAACACCCAGACGAAAGCAAGTGGCTGTTCTAAGAGGCCACCTCCGAGCCGTTTACTTGAAGTCTGATCCACAATGGTAGTGGTGCTGCGTTCCCATAGATTCTGGTGACCGATACAGGTTTATATTATCATTCCATCCTTTTGGATTCTGGAACCATTGTACACCGTCTTTTTAGCATTAAGCTTTTCAAGCCTCCTCCAGCTAGATGTAGATTTACATCAGTACGGTGGTTGTAAGTGCAAGATGTTCGCTATCGCCGTTTCAATCTTATGAGGAACACTCGCCGGACCTGACTGCATTGAATAGGACCCACCTGGCAGAGACCATGTGAGTATTTCGAAGGGAAGACTAAAATCTATCCTCCATCCTCAATCGTATCACGTGTTTTATGGATGAAAATCCAAAGAAAAACAAAATTTTCCAGTTAATTTATTAGTCATTTCTTCCTATTTTTGTATTTTTTCACACACTGTCTTTGTCTAGTTACCTCATCTATCGTCGCTTGACTTACGCGGAACACAAACTTTCAGTGATGATGATAATCTTTCACAATTAGCAGCAAAATGTCCTCATTTAGAAGAAGTTGTCCTAGCTAATATGCATTCGTTAAAACGTGAGACAGGCATAGCTCAAATGCTACGTCTTCTGCCACGTTTACGTGTTTTAGACTTATGCGGTTTAGCGGCTGTTGGTGATTTAACTATGGAAGTATTGGCTACTAATTGTCGTCAATTAGAAGAGTTGGATGTTAGTTGCACGTCAGTTACTCAAAAAGGGTGAGTGATTCAAAAAAGCACATACATAATGTAGTAATAATTTTTTTTGTATTTTATGAAATGTCCTACTACACTGGTCTACTCTTAGCTATGTTAAAACAATGGTTTTTAGATGAAGTGTGTACTAGCTAAACTGCCTGAAACAATGTTTATAGATGAATAGATAATTCTGTCTAGAGCCGATCTCACCATTGTTACGTCACCAAGTAGGTTATAATTCGACGTATTATTATTGATCTTTAATTTTTACTTCTGTTTCTTTTCTGTTGTTGACCTCTCCACCTTTACGTGATAACCTGATATTAGTGGGTAGTTATGCAACTGTAATACATCTGTGCTACTTATCCAGTAGTCTCATGTATTGGTTTTACTAATAAATTGGAATTTAACACGTTTTCATGTATGTGTGTGTCATGTCATGAAATACTTCAAGCTGTGTTGAGGGTATTTTACTTCTGTCTATTATCGAGAGAAATTTCAAGTCAAGCACCCCTTTTGACTTATCTAGACAGCGTTATTTGAACTACAATCGTCAGCGGCGGTGGCAGCAGTGATACAGATGATAAGGATGTCAAGGCCAGGTTTAATTTAAGCTAGACAGATCTTCATTATTCTGAAGTGAGTGTGGAAGTCTGCTCCACTTCAGCATAAAGAACAAGATGTTAAGTTAGTGTTCTTCTATATGGTTCAGAGATTTCGCCTGCGTGCATGCGAGCGCACTCGTCACGAAATAGATCTGCGATAGGCTATTGCAGACTTATATAAACAGAGCTGCCTTCCCCCCCCCCATACTGAACATCAGATGGCCAGAAAGGATAAACAATGAGGAACTGTGACAGTACAGTGAACCAACCAAGAACATATCACTCAACAAAAGATGCCGAATGGGAGCGGAGATTGATTGGACATATGCCATGGAGATTGCGTAACAAACAGGTCCTCAAATGAAACCCAAATTATATTGAAAAGGAAAGTGAACACGCTTTGTTTGTTGATTGTTCCATGTTGTAAATGTTGAGTAGCAGTAAAGATTTGAATAATAAAATTAAAAATAGGAATAATAATAATAGCTTTATTCGAAAAAGCACATTTTTAGACAATATAGAATTTTCAGCGACTTTCATAGCAAGCTATATCTTCAAATAATAATAAAGATAACCGATAAATGTGTCATATGAAGGAAGATAGTTTCACCCGAAGTATGTTCGAATACTACTCCACAATGTTGTTCTCCTCTATTTCCTTTGAAAAATTCTTACCGACAGGTAGAGACTTCTTTTTGAAATTGTGCCCAAGTATAAATTGCGACTCATTATGATAATTAGATGATTAAAACAATATGAAATGGAGTAAATACAATGTTATATTGATGGATAGAAAATTTAGAGGTGGTAGCTCAGTGATTGAAACAAGCCACTGGTTGTTTCTTTGTAATGAAGCTACTGAGCGTCACTTTGTTAACACTGTGAAGTTATATGTATACATATATTTGATGGTATCAATCCCTGTGGGGCTCATCCGCGGAGGCTTTATGGTTTGCCGAAATGTCCATAAGCAGGGATTTCCTCTGCTTCCTATGAACCTAAATAAAACTAATTCAGTGTAGATTTTGTCACAAAACCTCCAGCATATCAGTTAGTGAGATGATTAAAAACCATCAGAGAGCACTGGGCAGCTGTTTCATCCTAGTTTGGGTTTCTTCAGTGGTGCCCATCCACGACCCCGCCAACAGTCGAACGTGAGACCTTCAGGTTACGAGACTAAATTCGTTAGTCATTCAGGTACTTGGGTCAGAATTCAATACCTCTGTGAATTCTGATGAAGAGTGAGTCCCAAGCTGAGACGAAACAGCTGTTTAGTGGTGTTCTTTGATGGTTTTCACTAATCTCTAACGAATGTTGTTTCGTGACGACATCTAACGACTGGAATTGATCTCAATCCCTCCCTACACAACCCAATGTATTCTTTAGGAGTATCATTCATAGTATCACTGGTTTTGCCAATGCCCCACCACCCTTGTTGAAATATGAGATTAATGTTGTTTTTATTTTTTCTTGTTTCATTTCAGTTTATTTCATCTAACAAACGCACCAGCGGTTAGCCTAAAATGTTTACGAATTAGTCATTGTAGAGAAATAACAAATGATGTACTCGAACGATTGATTAAAGCTTGTCCAAAGTAAGTCACACACACCCTTTCGTTATTGTTTCTTCTATATTAGTAAATCTAATTTGATCAAACTCATGTTTAAATCGTAAATTAGGGAACCTTAAGAAATATCTTTCGTTGGTAGTGGTGGTGCTAGAACCACCGGTTGGTAGAAGTCAGAATTCATGAACTGGTCACTGAGTGAGACGGGTTCCAGTATCGCTGAATCGTTTACGAGCTTGCCTCGTAACTGGGAAGGTTCTTGGTTCGAATCCCAGTGTTGGCTGCGTACTGCATATGAGTCCCAAGGTAGGATTAGACAACAGCTGTCCAGTACTCCCTGTTTCTGGTTCTACAACTGACATCATCAATCCTTAATCAAACTTGAAATATCTCTGTAAGTAAATGAAGATGGAGATTAGTAGAATAAAGAATATTCCTCTACCTTTGTACGCGCTATGTAGAATATGGCAACGTGAAGTTTTGCACACTTCTGTACAGAGTTCTAGGCTTGAATGCAGTTAAGCAGTCATTGTCTTCATATAGTAATCCTGGTACACAATCCCATCAATCAATATTCTTTCAGTTAGTAGCTTGGGAAGTCTACTGACCATTCAGGGTTTATTGTCTGTCAGTTTAGTAAGATTTATCTTTACTAGTGAGAAATTCATTTTATTGTACAGGGATCCCCTAATAAGTAAATCAAAAGACGTATTCAAGTGTTGGTATGTAGGGATTTGATTGGCTTTGAGGATTTCATCATGAACTGTGACATCCTTGCAAACCAACACTTGAATATCAATCTGATACTCACTAGTGACTGACCCTATTCAGGTAGGTAGTCATCTGGGTGGTTTCTAGTGGGAACTCGTGACTAGTGGGATACGGCAGGTCTGGTGTGAGGACAAATACTCGCTAGTTATGACATTGGCTAGTGGTCGCTCCATATCGTGAATTTTCAGAAATTGGGGTTCATGAGCTGGTCATTGGATCGAGCCCTATAGGGTTGAACGGTCTATGAGGTCACCTTGTGACCGGGATATCCTGAGTCCGAACCCTGCAGCGTGGATGGTGTACTGATGAAGAGTCCCAGACTAGACTGACGAAACAGCTGGCTGTCCAGTACTCGTTGCTTGTTTTCCCATGGTCTTCCAACCGATGTCAGTTCATAATTAAATCCTGAAAAGACGTATTATTTACTAACAAATCATTAAGCAACAAGCTGACATATTTCTAGATGGATGATGGATTAATCATCAGAATCAATCACTCCCTCAATCAAAACTCATAAGTGATATCAAGTTTTGTTTGAAGTGAATTGAATTTCCCGCTCATAAGCCTGCACAAAAGCCTACCACCTATAGGTGTCACATAAATGCAGAGAAATGTGATGATGTGAAGAATGATTAATTGTTTATTGGATGTGAGAGGTCACTGAGAGAGGTCAATGCATCAGCGCTATTGAGAGCGATTTTGATTCATATTACGTACTAGTTCTTACCAACCCCCGAGGACCGCAACCAGGAAGCCAGTCTACACCTCGCTACATGGCTTAAAGTAACCGTTATGGGTTTCATTAACTAATGCCATGTTTTCGTACATGGACCACGTACATCGGAAAAGCTGACATCACTCTAATCAATGGTGAAAGACTTTATAGACTGATGACGAGCAACTGTTTCTCAACTTAATAGTATGTCAGCTGACTGACAATGCTCAGTGTGAAAGACTATGGATTGGCATGCGTGACATATATCCTAGTCGTCTCATTAGATTGACTTTCTGTGCATACCTAATACTTTATTCCTGACGTCAATATTACTTATGATAATACAGTAATTTACATGAGAAATAAAGTGCTTTTGGTTAAAGACGGTTTTGGCTTGCTGTACAGTACACATATCGTTTGATTTTATTTATTATTATTTTTTCTTTGCGTTTCAAATGGGAAATAAGGCTTTGAGTTCGAGCATTGAAGTTTACTTAGCAGCAGTTCTTTTTACAAGATGATGGGATTGCTAGCCTCACTCTCAATTTCCCCTCTTTGTCTGGCTTAGAACTAGCAGAGGAGAGGTAAAGGTGTTCGCCGGCTAGTAGGGATTGAACCCCGTACCAAGTGCACGCATAATTAGCAAGTATCCTACCGCTGAACCACCGACTCACTATATCTTTTGATGCATAACTGAAAATATGACGTTGCACCTAAGGTGATGTTTATTGACATATGCCAGACGAGCTGAGGTTATGTTAACAATTAGTAGTGGTAGTAGTCTGTTAGGGCTGGTGCCACTTCCAAATTATTCGTTGTCTGTGCTTTAAGAATGAATCAGTTCAGACTAATCCTGCAGTCATCATCTTAACAAAATGACAAAAAATTGGTTCACATGTTAAACAAATTTCATTACTTTCTGTGTTGTGATCAATTTCTTGCACCCAAAAATTTTATTGGATTTCATTGTTTTACTTGTTAATTGTTGTGTCTTGTTTAGATTAACACTGCTCTACGCCTATGGATTTGTTTCAATTAATGATTGGGGTTTCTTACAAAAAATTCGGCCTACATTATTAGTTGAAAGTGGTATTTAACTAGTGGTAATTATAATGCTAGTGATAATAACAATAGTGATAATAATATTTAAGGCTTTTATTGATGGCACAACAGTTGACACAGTTGCATACCATCTCACTGCGACGACGATGACGACGACGACTAATATTACCACTACTTATTTTATTGTGTTATTCTAAAAAATTGTTATCATCATATTTTTCTTCGCACTCCTACTCTCTACCTTCCTACCTATTGCTGCTACACTCTTCAATTGTTTGTTGTTTTCAATTTAATCTAAACACTTTCTGCCAAAATAATATTCAACTTTTTTTTGTCAATTGGGCAATCAGTTAACTGTGTTAAACTATGTTCATCTCAATTCCTGACATAATATTAATAATAATAATAATGGTAATAATATATATAAAAAAATAAACAAATTTGAGCATGCATCAGATCAATCAACAAAAAAGTAATAAATAAAATAAATGAATAATAGACTTTCCTTACAAATATTATACATAATGTATTAATTAACCCATGCTGGTTCCGGTGATTTAACATTCATTCTGTTCCCCCTTATCTATACTTATCTCTATACGGTTGGGTTGTGATTTCTGTGTTAATCTCATTTGTTGTTGTTACTTTTTTCTTTTTGCTGTGGTTCGGTTTTATCCTTCTCCGTGTGTTTTTATGTTGTTCTCAATGCATACATAATATTTTGTGGTGTTCAGTGCAAAAAAGGAGCTCTTTCTATTTGTAGATGTGAGCATCTATGTGTGTGTGTGTGGTGTTACTCCCACCCGTGTCGTTGATGGTGTATTTCAGCTTCAAAAACACTAAAACCCGTGTCTTATGTTTTTATGTTGTTGTTGTTTTCGTATACATATACATATATTTGCTTTTTTCTTCACATGTTGTGAATGTATGCCTTTATCTGATTCCTGAGGGTCTCCACCCGACCCGACCCGGCCTGGTTCGGCCCTGGCCCTCTTCAGAAAACAAAAAGAAATATTACTCACATTATATCTATCGCATTACATTAGAGAATCTGAACAACAACAATAATATTAACAGCAGCAACAACTTACATGCATTTCTTTCGATTTATTCTCGCCTCTTATATAATATCTTACACCTCACTCACGTTTATTTACTATTACGCCGTGTTCAGCTTACACACACTGGCGAACTCAGAAACACCTATATATATATATATATATATATATATATATATATATATAGGAATCAAAATCCTTCTCTTACGTCTAAACTTTTGTTGTTGTTATTATCCTCTGTAATCAAAAGACAGCAAGAACTCCTCGCTTCAGAATTTTTAAAACAAATCATAAAAAACAAAAATTAGTGTTTATTGGTGTTTCTTTATAACATGTTAGTTTGTCTGTCTGTCTCTCTATAGTATATTTAACTTGTTACTTGCTCATATTCCTACTTTCTTCTTTTCTTATCTTCCTAGCCTTCCTACACTTTAAAGCTCACTATACTTACTCTTCATTTTGTTTATCTCTTTTTTTGGGTGGAGGTGGGGAGGGTAGGAGGTTGTTGTGGTTTTGTTTCTTCCTCACAAGAGTTAGCAAAAGGAAAGAAAAGGGTAGCAGTGCTGTTACGTAACCCTTATTATATTGTACTTTGTTTGTGTGTACATGAGAGTGTATGTGTGTTTGTGTGCATGATCTGTACTCAAGATGTTGTAAAAGTAACCTCTCCGTAGCTCCTCTCCCGTCGTATTGTCATCAATCTAGTCCCGTTTTACCTTACACACACACACACACACAAAGTGTGTTTAAAAAAATAACGGTGTGAACGAATATATATATGTATATATATTTCTGTTTTAACCAGTGTTTTACTAATTGATACGTAGATAACCACATCATATCTTCAGTAAAAGAAATAATAATAGCGATAGCAGTTCAAGTCCCTTTATCCTTTCCTATTTTTTTTTCTTAATTTCCTGTGTATTTCATACTATATATAAACATATTGCACTCTATTATTGATTGATGTGAACAGTGTCAACGATCTATGTAGCTGTGTGAACTCTATCGAAACAAACAAAATTGGAAAAAATTGATTCTTTTTGATTTTCTTGTTCTTGTTCTTCTTGTCGTCACTAATCTCTGTCCCTGTTTTCCGGTATCTTTGCACGTAGATAGATACATCAGTGGTTGGTGTGTTGTAGCCTAAATCACTTGTATTACTTACTGTTTAAAACAACTAACTGTGAATTATCAATGAAGGTTATTCTCATAACTTACTAAACATTCAGTCACATGTACTCCTGAATATTACTTTTAATTATTATTATTGTTTATTTTCACTCTTTTCCTTTTTTTCGATGATTTTGATTTGTCATTTGTTCCACCGCCCTCTCCCCTCCCGCCAGTGTCACCACTGTTGTGTAGAGAGGGTCGGTGGGTGGTTGTGTCTGCATATCTCCTGTGTGACAGAGATGATGTAATAAAGTTGTGAGCTCTAGTTGGTTAATTAGTTAGGGGTAATCGTCTACCTGTTTTTTTTGCTTTAATGCACAGAGAGAGAGAGAGAAAGAAGAAGGAGGGTGTAATATAAGCCTTTTTAAATAAATAAATTCATGAACTTATGCCTATTGAACTTTGAACTGTATAAGATTTCTTTCAATTCCATTATTATTATTATTGTTATTATTATTAATCTTATCATTACTATTCTTAATAACAACAGTTATATATACATATGCATACATATGTGTGTATACATACCCCCTATGAATAGAATCGGAACCAAAAAGTCTTTGTTATATATATATTCAATAAAACCCGGAGACGAAGAAGAACACTGTTAAATAAATAAATAAAACTATATAGCCTTTAACATTTTGAAAAAGTTGTTCTGATGTTTTTGTTTCTGCTGTTGTTGTTATTGTCGTGCATTTCTAGCGGAACACGTAGTGTGTAAGTGTAGGCAGAGCCTTGCCTAAAGTTTGCTAGCCTCACTCTCATCACATATTCATTCAGCTATTCTCTCCCTGTTTTTTCAGGGCTCTCCTTTGCTACCACCGAAGGAGGTCTTGAAAAAATATACGTGATGGTAAATAACTATTACGATACAGTTAAAAATTCTTATCGTATTTAGTAGCGACTATAATAACCAACAAACCAACAACAACAGCAGGCAGCGATCATTGTCACTGGGGAAGTAATCAGACAAAGATCACTTCCTTCACTTATCTAGGAAACTTCGTTCCAACTGCAGACGATAGCATAGATGAGGATGTTAAAGCCAGAATCGAAATGGCAAGACTCTAACCTTCATCACTTTGATATCAGTTTAGAAATCTTTTGCACTTAGTATAAAGAACAAAATTTGGATTTTTAACACCGATGTTGTCAAGTCAGTTGATACTTCTATATGGGTAAGAGACTTGGCGAGCGCGTCACGAGAAACATTTTCAACGGGCTTCAGACGCCATGTTGAAGATAGCATGGTCAGAAAGAGCTAACAATAAGAAACTATGGGAACAAACAAACCAAAGACGTATTTCTCAACGAATATCCTGAAGAAATTGAAGATGAATAGGATGCACACTGAGGATACCGTCGAATGACATCATGTGCTAGACCATCGCTCAAGTGGGTCAGAGTGATATGGAGGAGATGAGAGACTATACACAATCATGGGACCGGCTGAAGAGGACTCCAGAGAATAGGATGAAAGTAGCGACGTGCTGCTGAAGAAGGCCTACGTTCCACTTGGAACTCGAGAGAACAATAATAAAATATAATAATGATGTTTGTAAGATTACGTTCCCACCTTACCAAAAACTTACCAGCTTATCCCAAGTTGGCAAAAAGAGCGGAGGTCAGATTTGGTGCTAGCGACCCTACCGTAGGATATGATATTGGCTGCAGAGGGCCTTCAGAAAGCCAACCAGCTGATGTGTCTTCTTTTGACGAAAGAAAAAATATGCATGGGGATATTGAATGTTCGAAGCTACTCAGATTGAAAGTAAAATAAGAAGATATGCTACAGAAGTGCTAGGAATCTGTGAAAGTAGACAGAACAGAAATAAGGTCTCCAAATAGTTAATTGGAGAGTCAGTATTCTACTCTGGTCACTTCCTGGGGAGCAGCTATCACAGTGCCACCAATACCAGCTACAGTGTAGTTAGTAGAATTGAATTTAAGGTATGTGAATTATTGGTTAGTAACCGAAGTGACCACAATAATAATAATAAAGAGAAATTCATTCAAGTGTTTATATTGTATAGGTAGTTAATCGTTGTGAATGAGTATACTTGTAGAAGTAAACGGGAAAATAACTATTGTCCCAGTGGCTAAACGAGTTTGCCTTTTAACCGGAAGTTACTGGATAGAGTGGTTAGTTTAATTTTGAAGAGTTAATGTGTAGGGTTTTATAATAAATTGTGAAACTAAGTCTAAATTATACAACTACAACGCAGCAAGATATTGATGATAATAATAATAACAAAGTTAACCTATACACAAATAAAAATAACATTTACAGTTATCCAATGTCATCGGGATAGATAATTATCCTACGTTAGGGTGAACATCCTAAGAAAGAGCCAGTTCAATTTATTTGGAAAGCCATTGCGGAAAAAACTTTAGAGATATTTTTTGTCTTATCAATCGTTGAATTTTCAGTAGAAGTGGGGATACTACCCTCGCCATCAGCTTTCATTCTTTTCCACGCTTACGATTGGTTAGTAATATATAGGCAAGGTTTTAGTAGTGGATCGATAGCGGATCAGACTCAGTCAGATCAGTTGCTTGCCTGGCGAGAATTGTACTAACAACGCTTTCGCTGTAGGACAGTATTCTTTGATGATATAGGTGAAATCACGTATAATAGTTTGTTCTATGAAGCTATCCTCCTTGTCTTCATGCTCGCTGTAATTACTCTTTTTCTGTAACCTGGACTTGTGGTCTTTTGTGTTTTGTCGTCAGTAGTTGTAACCCCAGTGCTAACGCGGGACACCGATTACTGAACGACAGACAGATATATTCGAAACTCTTGAACATCCATACGCTATCATGTAAGGGAAACCAATATTGAGGCGTGTTACGCTTATCGTCGATGTTTATGTAGAAGTGAGGAAGGAATGCACAGTCATTTGTTTGACGATGTCTGTCTCCGAGAAATGTTTCTGCAGGCTATTTCCAGGATCTAACGTTCTTTCACATAAGCCTGGATTACCCATCTGTTATGAGTTTGACTTTGTATGATTTTCTTAGAATCGTGAAGATTACTCGATTTAGATCGTATTTGTGTCAACAAAGCATGTTAATTTGAAGTAATTTAGGGGCTGGTGACTAGCAGTGGAATCCACCAGGATGTGCATTTCGTTCTGTTCGCAACTCGTGAGTGATGATGGTCCTCCCACCGAGGCTCGAATCCAGTACCCATCGTTTCAAACACCAAAGCGTTATCCACTAGACTACTTGGGCCATGAGAGCCACCTCTTGTACAATGGTTATCAGTCATTATGTGATTTGATTTGAACTATCCTGTTGATTGGTTGCACCGTAGTGTTTGGCCTCTGTTGACGTGTTGGCTCCTTGTGAGGATGCGCATAAGTGATGGGTATACAGGGTTTAAGTCTCAGTGTGAACACACCGCCAAGTCACTGGTGACTGCAGGTACATCCAACTGTCTGATGAGTCTCGGATAGGACAAAATGCATATCCAGGATACTACTACTACTAATCACCATCTCCAAAATTACTTCAAATTAAATTCTCGAACATCGTTGAAGCATCCGTACAATAATAATAATAGTAATAACATCTTTTTGTTGGATAGTATTTATAAAATGTACAGAATTTCCAGGGAAGCTACATTATATGATATCACCCCTTAGTACAATATCTTCAAGTAAAATATCAATTGACAGCATATCCCTTGACAATGGTCGCTGAGCTGATGAAGCACAAACCATTTCATTATGATATATCTGATTTGTCTCCACGATATCTCGTTGAAAGCCAGTTGTAAGAAGTTGAGAAGTACATTTTGAGGACATAACTGAAGAACAGTTATCTCATGCTATATTGGAACACGTTGCCATCTATAATCAGGCTATTCCTCAAGTTTAGTATGAACTTGCGAATCAGGAGCTTGTAAACATTTCAAATACACACGAGAGTAGGCAATATTAGTAGAGGTTGTATCTTAATCGATTAAAACAAAGTTCCTACAAAACCAATATTTGGAAATTAATCTGATGCTCACTAATGACTGGCACTATTCAGGCAGTTAACCTGAGGTTCTAGTGGGAAGCCGAGTACAACAGGTTAAGGATAAGGCAGTAACTCATCGAAGAAGACATTGCGAAATGGTCGCGCTGTGTCGTGAATTGGCAGAAGTTAGAATTCAAGGACCATTGGATCTGGTCCCAGTGGTTCAATGGTCTACGAGCTTGCCTTATAACCGGAAGACCCTGGGTTCGAACCCCTGTGGTGGGTGGGCACTGCTAAAGAGTCCAAAAATAGGACGGAGGAAACAGCTGTCCAGTACTCCCAGCTGATTTCCCAATGGTTCTCTAACTGATGTCAGCTCATGATGAAATCCTCTATGCAATAAAACAAACCAAACGAAAGGAGAGATATGCAACAAACAGAGATGGAAATTTTTTTTGTAGCCCATGTTTTAAACCGGCCGCCATGTTCATAGAGGCCGAACACTTCAGTTCAATCAATCCACTGGAAAGTCCAAATATCGAATTAAAACGTGTTAATGCCTGAAATAATAACAGCAAACATAACATAGAATGTATGTGTATTACACGGAGAAAGAGAGACACAGATGGTGATTAGAGTTGCATAGGGTGGTATTTAGTCCACTTAGCTATTATGGATGTACACCTCGTTTTAATCGATAAAAATAGTACATGAAACTTAATACGTTTTGTTGGTGAGGACAACAGAATTTTGCATAAAAGATGTTGATAAATGTAATTAATTACTTAGTATATATATATATATATATATATCATTTTTTTTCTATATAAGTCGAACAGTCCTTTTCTAAACTGTACTAGAAATGGTTAAGAAGATGCCTTTATAGTAATTACTAACAAGTTAATAAAATCTATTCAAAGATGGCTGGAAAGAATCACCAACAAGAAACTATGGGAACAAACAAAACAAGGACCAACCAATCGCCAACCAACAAATATGCAGGAGAAAGTGGAGAGGGATGGATCGGACACTCGCTGAGGAGACCACTGAGTGACACCGCGCGCGCGTCAGGCCATTGCTCGAGTGGAACGCGACAGAATGGGAATCGGCGAGTGGGACGTCAGTGCAAGGGTGACATGGAGGAGATCGTGTGTAGAGGAGTTGAATCAGTATGGACTAACATGGATGGATGGAGGTGAAAAGCACAGCAGAAGTAAGACAGAAGCAAGGAGAGACGTGCAGTTGAAGCCCTGTGTTCCACTAGGAACCCAATGGAACAATAATAATAAAAAACTTTTAATGCTGGTAAACTGGAAGTCATATTTACTACACGACTGGTTTTGATTCCCCAATTAAAAGATGAAGTACCTCAACTGGTCACCTCTAATTGTATCTACCAATTCATCTGTGTTTGTGCAGCGAGTTTTATTGGCTGTCGCTCTAAGAAGTTGATTTTTCGTGCTTGGGAACACCCAACAGTGTGGCTAAACAAACGTGTAGAGAAAAAACCATCAACAGCTCAAATATTAGACCACCTTGTCCAATAAATTTCCATAGCCATCCAGGTACCGAGTACTGCAAACATCAGAGGCTATTGCGATTCGCCTAAAACAACCGGTTCTCTGTGTGCAGAAGAAACTGGTCTAGTCACTACTACCGCCCTGGCCTTTAACAGAACCTATAAATTCAGGAATTCTGTATAATTGTTTTTCCTAATTTGTGTGATGC